CTAAATTTCCTTTTGTTCAGCTAAATTTCCTTTTATTTTTTGTTGAAATAATTTAATTACGATACAAGAATAACACAAAGTGAGAAATCAAGGATAATATTGATTATTTCGAACATTTCAAGGGAGAAAAACATTGCTAGTTCTTTAGCAGGACGATAATCCTATGTTTTTGTCTGTAAATACCTTCCTTACAATGTTAAGTTCATAAAAAGCAGAAAGTCGATTGGATTGTATTTTTCACCTATTTATATGTTGTTTTAAAACGTCAAATTATGAATCAGAACTAGCATATGATAAATGTCCGTTTAAGTTGTAAAATTTCTCTTGTTTCTCTTATTCTTATTTCGCAATGCATCTAGAATCAATCGAGTTACATTAAGCATTGAAAATTAAATAGAAAAAAAAACGTGATTTAGTTGACATTAAAAATAGTTAAAGTTAAAAGTCTGATTGATGCAGATAGTTTTCGCATACACAATCTATTGCATTCCTTTAGCTTCAAGTGAATATTGATTAGAAAGACAGCTTGTATACTTTAATTCAGTACAATAAATGATGAATTACTACGTACTTCAATAAGAATTGTTAGACTTTCGGTGTTAGCTAAATCTCTTTTTTGAGAATCTAATAGAGTCCCCTGGGGTAATTCGAATCAAAAATTAGAAAATTCATTTTGTTTTCGCTCATTCTCAGGCATTTTACATCCTCCATCGATGTTTTTTGGAGCATAACTAGTTGGAAGTGTTCTCTATCTACTGGTGACAGAATTTTCGAAAAATTATATACTGAAAAAAAGTATTTATAAAAATAGTGAAAGAGGTGTCGAGTTGATCCGAATTAACCCAAGTGGATTAATTCGGATCAGTAAGCCAGACTACGTGGGGTAATTCAAATCATTGTGGCAAAAATGACGGTACTTGATTTCTCCATCTTTTCATTCATTTTTTTTGTCCGTTCTTGAAAAGAAAAAGAATATACCATTCGATAGCCTGAAATGTCTTGTATGGGATCTGAGAATATCTTAATGAGCGAGTTTATTGTTGTTGTGTAACATGCACAATATTGGCCTCTCTGTTTGCCACCTTTCATCAAATGAAAGTTTTTCTGGAGTAATTCGGATCACCCAGAAATTTTCGGCTGAAAACCATTTATCGAATTTCTAGAACTGGTGCATCTGATAGAGATTTTTTTTCTCTTCATTTTGTACTATTTTTAATTGAAAAAATATTGAAATTTGATGTTTTTAGCTAAGAAATATGTTACTCACTGAAGTCACTGGAAAAAGTTTGTTTTATGACACTCTTTCAGGTTTTCTCAAGTTGTTTCAAAACCATGATAGGTTCCACAAAAAAAAAAACTTTGATGCATCCGATTCAGAACTGTTTTGGCTACAAAATAGTATAAAAATATCTATGAAAACATATTAACCACATGACGAGACTCAAAGCATACTGGCTTTTAGACACAGTTTTAGATTTCTTTTGAATGTGAATATGGGTGTGGGTGTGAATGAACAGAACGCAAATACACATACTCACATCCACATCCACGCTTTAATTTAGATTGCTTCAGTCGTTTCTGTACGATACGGTTTATTTTCGTAGAAAGATCGTTGAGCAGATATCCACATTTCTCTTTAGCGAATTTAAGTGTATGAGAGAGTATTTCGACAGAAAATACCATTGAATCATTATCACTATGACCACTCTTTAACTGGAACAGATCGTAGATTGATTTTTGTACATCATTTGATTAGATCTCATCGAAAGAAAATGTATTGAAAAAAAAACACTCCTTGAATCTTTAAGTATATAGAAGTATTTACACTTTTTTGCAATAGGCAATTGCTCAATTGCCACTCTGCTGGCTACGCCACTGACTACATCATTGAACTATATAGTCAAATTTATTATATCAGATAAAAAACAAGCAGCCAAAAGTTCACTCTTAAATCCTATGAAGCTCACTTGCAATACTTGGTTAAATAAGAATAAATGAATCATTTAGAAAAGTTTCTTTGACATAACTTATTACTCTTTTATGAAGAAAAAAGTTTTAATTGACTTAAATAGTAGCAAAACGTTCAGTAGCACTACCGAATAAAATCCTTTTTTTCCCGAAAATTGACAAATTTGAAGTTTTGATATTCATTTTTATTTTTTGTATTATTGACTAGGAATCAATTCTTGGAAAGTGGTAGGCGTCGACTTTTATTTTTTATGATGCTAATTGTATTCAATAGCAGGCCTTTGTTCTTCTGCTGAATGTTTTCCAACTATTGTTCGCTTTTCAAGAAGAAAGGAGCAAGAGCTTCGTTCAGGGGAGTGTGGATCTCGCAGTCAATATCAATTATCATTTTTATATATTTATCTAGCCTTTCTTCAGTAGAATTCGATTTAGAGTTGAATGTACATTTATGTAGTTTATTTCAGTCTTATTTGATTATTGAAAAACTTGCTTTTTAAATTACAATCCTAAAATCATAGACCGCTTTCCAAAATACATGGGTATTTCGGAATCCTTTTCCAGCATAACTAAATTTTAGATCAAAATGAATAATATATACAGAGTCCACACAAAATCTTGATTCATGTTTTAAACATTTCAACTAAAAAAGCTTTCATGTAAACTATACCTGGTAATACGCAGTTACAGTTTACTAACCACGTATGCTAGGGACAGCATGAGATCATTGAAATTAGCGTTGGCTAAAACAATCAAAGGTACCACTTTAAAAAAAGAGCATATTTTGATATAGCTAGTGTCTCAACGCTGAAGTGAGCCCGGATATCAGTGCCATCACTGCTTCAGTCTCAACATTTCAGTATTTAAGGCAGCAGTGAACATTCTTAAATGCAGCCCGAATGGATAACAAAGAAATTTTAGCAAAAATGAATACCGAGCGATTCACATGCTTTTTTTTGCTAAAATATCTATATGATGTGATGTGGATGTTTGCGTTGATCTCGATTGTGTGCTTGATTTTGTTCTGAAATTGAATGATAACAATGAAAATCTCTATGCATGACTGCAGTTTTCACAAATTGAGCCTAACTTTTAATACGGCAGTCAGGAAAATTTCATTTTTCCATAGAATAAAACACGATTGAAGAAAAATTCAAAAAGTATTTTTAAAGATTATGATCGAGCGATTCAAAGAAAATACGACATTAGATTGTATTTTTTACAAAAATTTATATGGACTTACATAAGTGTCTACTTGACTCAAGCCAAAAGTAGTGATGGCAGTGTTTTAAGAGTTTTGGTGAGAGTAAGGATGAACAGAAGATTTCATATACTCACCTTGATAGAAACTTCTATTTCTTCTCATGTTGTCAATGACATCTGTCTCTGCTTGTAGTAAGCTACAAAGAGATGAATACCTATTTTGCATTGCAGGTACTTCCACAACAACTACAGCAGGTGTAACTAAACTAACCAAATGGTACCACAGAATTCGAGTAATTCAAACAATTCCTTAGTGCTCTTTTCTTTATTCATAACTATCTTCTTTTGTTCATAGAACACTAGAGGTACAACAACAACCGCTAGGACTGAAAAGGACCAAATCACCTCCACCATCGAAAGGGTTAGACGATAATTATTCTAGAAAACGAATATTCATCAAATATCTTACACTTGTAGATGCCAACCATTGAAATCAATGTTCCAGCAACTAGAGGTAGGATCCCATTAATGCTCGCTTTAATATTGAGAATGATTATAATAATCATGAGAGTTTTGTGAATAAAGAAACTACTTAGATATTGACAGACAGGAAGCTTACGCTCCTCATCATACTGATATTTTCATCTCTATCGTATCTCGACCATGACGTCTCAGAGAATGCATATGAACATTATTGAAATAAAAACTAGATGAGAATCCTGTCTTTTGACAAAATCTTGTGTTCTTCAATGTTTTGAAGGTTCCCAATAGGGTATGAGTGTGAGTGTGTCAAAAAGAAAAGAATGACACGCAAACCTTCACTCCACCCATACTCAAACTATCATAAAGCGTGTCTATGATCGATTCGATTCACTAATATCCAATCACCATTTTTAGTCATTCGAAGTTATGGAAAAAATTATCTATCCTGTCATGATACAAAATTATTTCTAACTATATATTTTAATGAGAAAACCATCCATTAATTTCAATACAACCCAATTATTAATCATTCTCATTTTTATTGAGATGATTTATTTGTGATATAATTAATTTGTTTTCGATCGACTGAAGTTTCAACGGAACTCTCTTTGCAAAAAATGATTTATTTTATAGTTAGCAAGATTCTATATAAATTTTCCTTTTAATATTCTATACACTCCTATACTTTCGCAAAGTGACGCTACGAAGTCAGGTGTTAAATATCTTAACCATTGGTAGTTATCACGTTATGCAGAAAGTAGTTAAATCACTATTTGTTTATGTTTGAGTTTTCTCATGAGACACAGAAGACCAGTATGTATACATTCTTTGTCTAGCTGAATGTACAGTAAGACGAAGCAAATCTCATCGATGTCATTCATATATGTACATGGATATGCCGTACATTAAGATTTTGCTAATGTAATGAATTTCAATTTATAGCATGAAATCAAACCAGAGGTTCAGGTAGTTTATTCATTTAGGGTTATCCAAAAGTAGTGGACCAGGTTCTTTTTTTTCTTATAAATAGCTAAAAAGAAATTTCGTTTTTTACGAATAGATAGAGCGTCTTTCGCTCTATCTTTCTATGCTATTTGATCAGTATCTAACTAAGATCATAGTAATAAAATTCCGACAAAAACATTTTTAGTGCAACTCTAGCTGGTAGCAATAGTGCATAAAATCATCTACACGTGTTTTTTTTTGTTTTTTCTTGCTTTTTCTCTTGTTGTTTCTTTCATCATCGTCTTCTTATCTCTTTTAATAACTGACTGTGCATATATTTCACAATGGACAAAGAGTAATAATGATAGAACAAAACAAAATACAAGGATAAGTTTATCAATTATTTATTTCATCAGATGTTCGAAATAATCACCTTGGTTATCTATACACAATTGCATTCTTTCAAACCATTTTTCAAATGTTTTTTTATATTCTTCATTACTCAAAGAATACATGAAATTGACCACAGCATCATATAATGATTGTGAATCACTTTGATCGGTCAGATTTCGTTTGATTAAGTCGAATAACCAAAAGTCACATGGTGATAAATCTGGAGAATTAGGTGGATGTGGTATTATTGTGAGCCGTTCCGATTCAAGATAACTAGACACATCTTCGTGAACATGTGGTCTTGCATTATCGTAGTGAATTTTAATACCACGCGTCCCATATGAGGGTCTTTGACGTTTGATTTCATCGACAAGATGCCGTAAACAATTGTTGATGTAATACTGGTGATCGATTGTTTGTCCCCGTTCCAAATGATGAATGAAAACAGGACCATTTGACTTAAAAAAGATGGATAATAAGGTCTTTGAAGCATACTTACTTTGTCGAATTACAGTAGGTGGAGGATCTCCTCTTCTCACCCACGCTGCATTTGACGACTTTCGACCAATTTGTTTATGACAAAACCACGATTCGTCACCAGTTATTATATCACATAATCGCCATGTTCCTTGTTGAAATTTTGCTAAGTTTTCTTTACATATTCGAACTCGTTCAGCCCGTTGAAAATCGGTAAGATCTTTGGGTATATAACGTGCGGTGACCTTTCTAAGGTTTAAATGATCGGTGATGATTCGATGAACCGTACCATAGCTTAAATCAGTTTGCTATTGTAGCTCTTCTATTGTAAGATAAGGATCATCATTGATAAGAAGGCGGACCTCTTCAATATTTTCGGATGTTGTTTCAGTGATGGGTCTACCAGGTCGTGATTCATCTTCAATTTCTTCTCGACCTTCACGAAACAGCTTGGACCATCTTTTCACTGTTGTGAGAGAAGGAGCTTGATCACCATAAACAGAATACAGTTCATCATGAATAATTCTTGCTTGAATATTAAGGGCAGTACGCACTTTAATGTAGAAACGGAAGTTTTCTGTACTCATTTGAAACAGGAAAATAGGGCCAAAGTTAAAGTTGATTTTATTTTTCTGACTTTCTTGAATATAAGCAAATACACGACACGTGCACACAAAAACAATACCGCGGACGCGTTAATGTATATGTACGTATGGATGGACAGTTATTATAAGAGATAAGAAGACGATGATGAAAGAAACAACAAGAGAAAAAGCAAGAAAAAACAAAAAAAAACACGTGTAGATGATTTTATGCACTATTGCTACCAGCTAGAGTTGCACTAAAAATGTTTTTGTCGGAATTTTATTACTATGATCTTAGTTAGATACTGATCAAATAGCATAGAAAAATAGAGCGAAAGACGCTCTATCTATTCATAAAAAACGAAATTTCTTTTTTAGCTATTTATAAGAAAAAAAAGAACCTGGCCCACTACTTTTGGATAACCCTAAGTATATAAAACAGGACGACAAATAAAATAGACACAAAAATAATAAGATTTTTTTTGAATCGAATAATTAGGCCAATAAGTATTTTCTAAGCGATATAAATATATCGAAATCAGATTATCACTATGTTTATCAATATCAAATATAACTTTCATAAGGCATTGATGAAAAGAATACAATTACAATAGAATATCTTATTTACCCGTTTAAAAATATCAGGTTATTCAAAATCATCATTTATTTATAAGGAAAATGTATATTAAACAAGGAAAAAGTGATGGGTTTGCAACAGATGTAATTTTAGTTATCGGTTTTTACCAAAAAAGAGGTGCACTTCTGCATAGATTAAGTTTTTGATTACAAAAGACTATCGATGGGTCCAACGACATTGATAGCAATTATTATTACTCAAAATGTAAATCAGACACAACTATTTCGAAAAATTCAATTAAAAACAGTTTTTAAGATTCAATGACGAATATGTATTTTTACTATATTTTGTTTGTTTTGGCAGTTAGGGATAGGTGTAAGGATGTGGGTGTGGGTGTGGGTGGGTGTGGGTGGATGTAGATGTGGGTGTGGGTGAGGTGTGGGTGTGGATGTAGGAGTGGATGTAGGAGTGAGCATGCATATTCCATTTTCTTACGATACCCACACCCACCCCACACCCTACCCACACCCACACCCACACCTACCCACACCCACACCCACACCCACACCCACACCCACACCCACACCCACCCACACACCCACACTCACACCCTCTCAGAAAAATTTGGCGTAGACATTCTACAATGTTTACTTATTATTTTCATTCTTTTGTAAGGACAACCACTATTCTCTACTGGTTCAGCGGATGATAGTCAGAGTTATTATTTTTCATTCTTTGTTCACGTAAATGTTTCTCTTTTTTTCTGAGATCAGGATTATACGTGGCGAAACAATCAGAATATTCTGTAGATATATTAGAATTCGATGCATTGTATTAATATACTTTTTATTGCTAAGCATACACAACTTATCGAGTTGTGTTTGAAATAGAACAGACTCTACTACTACAAAAAGAATTAGAAATATTGCAAACTGGTAGATTTCATTATACTACTTCGAATTACATAAAAATTTATATTACGTAAGAAGAAAGTTAAATTATTTCAAGTACTTAAAGTAACATTGTATATTAAGTAGAATTCATATTCTATGTGAGTTCGATTTGCATTTTGACATAAGATGTTCACATGTCAGATACGTGGTGCTCGTGAACGAAACATAGTTTAACTTGATCTACTAGAAATAAAAGATAATTCAGTCTATTTTTAAGTACTCAAACTTCATCGGAAATATTGCTAATTAAAATCGATCACTTTTTTATTTGACTCGTTGAAGATAATATATTAAACTCAATTATTGAGTAGAAGAAAATCTAAATTTTATTTTGTCTCTTCAAGATAAATTACTATAGGATAAAGTGACAGATCGATAGCTAATTTTTGAAATTCAACCTATTTGATAACTTAAATCAATTCATAGGAAATATATTGATTCAATGAGTGCCAAATGCGTATCATTAAAATCAATGATGTTATAAGAACGATAGACACTCAGAAGAAAATATGTTTAAAAATATTTTTTATCCTAATGCAACCTTTTCGGCTGGTAACGTCACAAAAAAATGAAAAGAAATAATTTGCGATCAAACAAATATTTTCTGACTCGTTCTCTACATTCACATAATATAAGTTTAGAACTCGTTTTAATTTTATTTTTGTAGTTTTTGAATATATAAAACTACATAGATAGAGGAAACACGTGGTCATTGGTAACATGTAAGTTGTTGTTAAAAATTTATCGTACTCAGCTGAAACTATTGGGTGTGGGTGTGGGTGTAGATAAATAGAAGAATCATACCCACACCCACCCATCCACACCCACACCCTCTACATACATTTTGAGCTACATGCACGAATAAGCCATTGCCTTTACAGGTTAGAATTAGCTTCTACATTAAAAAAGAGTGTGTTGAAAAATAGTCGATCTCAGACTGACATTTCTATATGCTCGCATTTGAAGGAAGGAGACAAGGTAAATGTTTTGTCGTTTAATAGCTTAGAATCAGTGTGACATGGTTTAATTCTTATCATAAATCGTAAGATATCACAAATGTGACGATTATACACAATCACTTATGAAAATTTTCGGTAAACTTTAGAAAAAATAAGTATTATTGAATTCATTTTTGTATATATGAATAAGTTCTATAGTTTGATAGTTTTCGGCAAAAAAAAAAAATAAAACAAGCACTAGTCCCTTATTTAGTTTGATCTTCCATCATAAAATTTGTAATTCGAATTAATTCGATAAAACAAATAGTTTGATTATTGTTATTGATCATCTTAAATGTGCGGTCCTACACTATTCAGGCTATGTAAATAACAGACAATTGTTTTTCTTAGATATGAAATAAGTATCGAAATTCTAACTTTTGACAGATGTGGTATCCAGAAAAATACTATAATTTTTGGATATTTTACAAAGAATCGGATCAAAAACTTTTTCATCCGAACAGTTTTTCACATTTAAAAGCTTTGCTCAAGATAAATCAGCCTGTTAGACTTGAGATAAATATTGATTTGGTAACTTACTCAAAAACTGAGTACAACTATACACAAGAGAAATTTTCTCTTTCTCCACTGTTCACATGACATCCTGTTATTTCCAACAAATAGTTTTACATTTTTCTTCAATCATCACTTGTCTTGAAATAAACAAAAGGGCAAAACTGAATGAACTCGCATGAGTAAAGCAACGTTAAAAGAAGAAATGTTATTCTATCAGAGACAAGACGTATTGAAATAAAACTGAGAAAGTCATATAAAAGAACATGAAAGACATTTTGTCCATAAGCTAATCTTAAATATTGCCTTGATATAGCGATCGTTTTTCTTTAGACCAAGAAAAAACAGTGCTCTTGAACCTTTCATACGGCAAGATTTCAAAGCATTTTTTGAGTCTATAAAACACTATGTCAGATCTCATGATGAATAAAGTTTTCAGTTTTCATTTCGTTTGTACCATTATCTAAAACTAATAAGTTGAATGCGGGTGACATCTAAAACAGTATTTTGCTAACAGACAACTGCTAGAGCTTCATCATAGATTACAACTTTCAATAAAACCGTATTGATTACCGTTTGTACGGTCTGGTCTTTAAAGAAAAGTGCAAATGAACATCAATTGCCGTATAGTAATACTTATTTCGAAATTTTCAATATTAGTGCTACTTCAGTAAAAATTATATCATTAGAAAGAACATAAGAAACCGATCAAGACATGCTAATTTTCTCTGAGGCTTACTTCCAAGTTCGTAGCAAAAATTTACAAAAATATCTAAAATTTCTAGAGATAACCGTAATCTTGTATATATATTATGTGAACAGCTGATAGGAAAGAAGAAAAAAACAACCTTGCCACATTGCTCGTTATGATTATGATGACAATAATGATGATGTGATAGTTCAATTTAAGAAGAGTATCAATTTCGAAAAGTATTCAAAATAAAAATATAATATTTATACAGAATTATATTACATCATTATTGTATTAGACCTCATGAGTAATCTAAATATTTCAAGTTCTATTTCTCATTCACCAATATATATTGACTTTCTTATTGTTAATCGTTTCAAAAAAGATCTATTTCTTTTTTTTTACTTCGTTTGTAGTAAATCATGAACAAATATTTTTTGAATTGATCATAAAATTATTATTCCTTTTTCTTGTCAGTTATTCTTGCCATTGCTCGATCGAAAAGAATTGCTATTGTTTTTCTGCAATTTCATTGTCAATTTCAATATGCAATCAAAACAAACATAAATAAGTCTCATATGATTTTTGAATGTGAAAAATCCTTCTAGTTGATTTTTTTCTGGGAATGCGGTGCCATAAAATGAATATGAAAAGAATAATTGGATATAAATGTGATCCTTGAACTGCATTAGGTTTACCATCTTTGAAAGTAGTATCATGCACCTGTTGAATGATATTATATTGATAAATTCTCATGCGATCATCAACATAACGAGATAAAATACCTAACACAAATTGTGTTAGTTATTCGTGCACTGAAATAATTATAGTTTTGGAAACACTTAGAAATTGAATTTTTTTGGCTACTCATAATATTCAAAGAGGATTATTTCAAACATTTTTCATAGAGAAATTTTATTATATTTCTTTCAGCTATGTTTTTCCTCACGTCTTCAGTAACACATAGACATTTGCAGTTGTATGTATAGGAAAAGAGATAAAAAGAATATGACAGTTCATGAAATTATTTGGAAATTGTGTCATAGTCAAATAAGTGATTTATTCAAACAAGTTGCCTAATTAAGATAAACAATCTTTCGAATTTCAATCTTAAATATTTAAGCGAAAAACAGTTCAGTTTAACACAACCATAGGCGGCGCGCCAGCAATGCAATAGTTAGCAATTGCAACCCCTAAAATAAATTATTGGAATCAATAAGAACTTACTGCTTTCTCTAATTTTTCACGCTTCCTGTATATTCTAGAGTAAAACTACTTTATTCAACATACATATATTCGATGTGATTCTGTATTTTATGTAGGAAGATTGAATTTTAGTCTCAGGAATTGTTTATTGCTATCCTGATGTATCTGTTTCCCGCAACATATATCGAGTGTCCCATAATAAATGGTCAATTTTTCTATTTCATATTTTAATCTTTAAATACATTTTAAAAAAGCACAGAAATTAGCATTAGATGCAGCGTAAAGATCTCTGCAGCTACAAAGGAAAGCTTATTTTAATTGTATACTTGGTATTTTCAAAACAAATGGAAGTCTGCGCAATCAATTTTCGACGCTGCGCATAACGGTCTCATAGAATTTTGTTTCTTTTCAAAACATAAAGTATACAATTAAAAAAGCTTTACTTTGTACACTGTAGAACTTTTTACGCTGCATCTTGAGGTATATGCGATAAAACTAATTAGGTGATAAAAGGATGAAATAAGAACAAAATGATTTGCTCATTGGAATAGAAAAATGATCTTTTAGGTACAATGGATATTATTCTCCCGGAATTTTACTTTTTTTTGAAAACATAAATTACACAACCAAAATATGCTTTACTTTGCAGATTGTAGACCTTTTCACGCTGCACCTTCTGGTGTATTATACTTTTTTAAAGAAAACATCTTAAGAGATACACAGATAAAATAAGAGCGAAGGAATAGCTTTTTGACACCTTCGAAAAGTGGTCGTATAGAATTTTGTCTTTTTCAAAATCAAAATTAAACAACCAAAATCAGTCTTGCTTTGTGAATTGTAGAGCTTTTCACGCTGCATCTTGTGGTATACTGGGTTTTTTAATAAAAATTTTTAAAGATTAAAATCTGACATACAAAAACCGGGGTTGGTGGAAAATGTAGAAAAGGAAAACGCAGAAAAGGAAAACGCAGAAAAGGAAAACGCAG